TACATAAAAGCAGTGAACACGGAACACGGAACGAGGAAGAAGTTTGTTCTCAGTTTTACAGCCGGGTTATCTTGTGGCCAGGGGTCCATTCTGACTTACCGGAGACAGGACCGGCGGCTCCGTAGGGCTCCGTAAGGCTGTACACACGGACAGCGGCAGATCATCATCCTCGTGTCTCTACCACAAAGTGGCTGGTGAGTTCCAACCACTGGTCTTTTGGTAAGTAGCCCATGCTTAACCCAATGCATCACCAGAATGCCAAAACCCCATACTCACTGCCATCAAGTCAGTGCTGACTCAGCAAACTCCTGTGGGTTTCCGAGACTGGGACAGTTTATGGGAGTTGAAAGCCCTGTTTCTCTCCCTCGGAACTGCTGGTGGTTCCCAATTGAACATTGCAGCCCAACTCATAACCGCTACACCAGCAAGGCTCCCCAGGGTTACTGCAGCAGAAAAGATCTGTTTCTATAAACTATTTGGTCGTTAGACTTCTTTTTCACACTAAGATGTTTGATTTTGAGTAAAACGCCTCCCTTGCCTCCCCCCCGCCCCCTCTCAGACAATATCATGGCTGCTTCTGAGTCAACTATACTTTTTCTCTGAGTGTCCACTGAGCTCCTTCAGACTGGGAGCTCTCCTTTTTAACCAGGCAATTTTCATGGGTTCTTATTGTAGAAGTGGCACTATCGGAAACTCTGAAACCACACACTCTGCCATCAGATTGGTTCTGACTCATCGGGAGCCTGTAAGGCAGGGTAGAACTGTTCCCATGAGCTTCTAGGACTGTAACTCTCTACCAGAGCAGAGAGCCCTCCTCTTTCTCTTGTCGGGGTGGGCTGGTGGTTTTAAACTGCTAACCTTGTAGTTAGCAGCCCAACATGGAACCTGCTATCCCACCAGAGCTCCACGACTTCAAATATAGAACTAAGCTTCAAGACCAGACAATCACCCTAAGGCTGCCGGGACTTGGAGGGAACCGCTGTGACAATTTTACATACCGTCCCAGGCTTTTTCCTTTAAGATGTTTTGTGTTTTTTCACTTCTGAAAATTTTCAGTATCCTTAAATATTTGTCTCCAACATCATTTCAAATACTGCACAGTTGCCCGTTTCTGTGCTCCATGTAAAATAAAGGATGGGAAGCAACTAGAGATGCGGGATGGGGGTGGGGGGAGGTTGGGGTTGCGGTGGCTGGCACGTAACAGAAGCTCAATACATGCTTACTGGATAGATGACCGATACTTCCGGGAGTATCCTTTCGGCTAGCAAAATCTTAGTGGAACCCTTTAATTGCCGTTTTTGGACAAATTCTGAAAATGGGTCCAAAGTAGGCAGGCCTCTCAGGTAATTCAGTAATGATGTATTGCGAACTCTTCCTCCAGCAACATGTTATCAAGTGACATGGCACCAGACTGGTGGTCCTTTAAACAGACTTTGATGTTTTACACCTTGGGTTTTCTCCTCAGAGGTGCTGTGATGAAAAGCGCTATTTGTCTGCACAAGCACGGTCGGTGCTGGCAGTGTGAGCACACGCGCTCACTCCCCATCTCCATCCTCGAGAGCTCGGCCCATCGCATCACCAACCTGAGGAGTGGGGCTGATGGTCCCAAGTACAGTTGGGCCGGTTCTGACTCACGCTGCCCCTAAGTACAACAGAACAAAACACTGTCAGGCCCAGCGCCACCCTCACGTTTGGTCCCCTCATGGCAGCCACACATCTCCTTGAGGGTGAAGTGTGTTGAACAACTAGCGTGGCCACGTTTGGGCAGCCTGAATGAATATGCCCACAGACAATTATATTTGCTTTCATTGAACGAAGGTTCAGGGAGACCGTGCCCAACGCTGAGTGTCTATTGCTATGCCTATAAAATAATCAAGTAAAATTAGAGTGTCTGAATCAAAGACCAGTTGCAAAAATACTGCATCACCCAGGATTCAGGCAGAGAGGAAACGAGTGTGAGTCTATCCAGGTTCATGCATGCCCGGGGTCACTGCCTCTCTTTTAAAACCAGAGTATAAGGCAGGGAGGCTGGTGTAATAATTAATAGCGGAAGCTCAGGTCAGAGAGGCTGTACCTTGAACCTGGCTCGGCCAATTGCTTAGTCGTGTGATGCTAAGCTGGGTATCAACTCTCAGGGCCTCAGTTTTCCTATCCAGTGTGCACAATGGAAATACCTTCCTTCCAAAGACTACGGCAGGCTTAAATAAGATCATGGAACAAAAGATGCATGAAAACCTTTGGCAGTGAGTCTGGTCCTAGTAGATGTTGGATTCACATTGGGTACTTATTATTTTTACTTATCATGAACGCCAATGAATCAATGAGCTTAGCAACCCTAAAGTAAGTTAGTAAAGACAGATTATCGTTTGCTTGACACATCATCTTAGGGACTCCAAATTGAACTGTGTTCTAGGGACATTACATTTTTAATTCTTTATTTTTAGGGTCCATGCTTTGGCAGGCACAATGAGAGCATAAACAGATAAAATTGTCATCTTTCAAATTCCATCCTTATGATCAGCTAGTTCATAAAAAATGAGGTTCCAAAAAATCT